ATCATCATTACTTATTTTTTATATACTTTTTATTTATTTATTTTTTCTACTATCATCATTACTTTTATATATATATATATATATATATATATTTTTATTTATTTCTTCATACTATCATCATTACTTCTTTTCTATATACTTTTTGTTTATTTATTTCTTCATACTATCATCATTACTTCTTTTTTACATACTTATTATTTATTTTTATACTATCATCATTACTTCTTTTTATATACTTTTTATTCATTTATTTATTTTTATACTATCATCATTACTTCTTCTTTTTTTAAAGTAAATTCAAGAAATTCCGCCTCTGATTCAGTTGATGATCCAAGACGTCCTGATGTCTGCGAGACCCAGTTACAAAAATTGTCTTTGTCTCCCTCTCCTTCCTTCGTTGTTGCTTTGTCTCCTTTTCGCTCCTCCATTTTCTTAAAGAAGAGGAATTAGGAAGAAAGGTGATACTGACAGAAGCGGGAGTTTTACGATCAGCTGGAGAATAAGAAGAATTAAGAACCGAAACGACAATAATATTAGCAATAAGAAGAACGATAATAAGAATACAACCCTGTCATAAAAAGAAAATCAAAATCAAAAGCAAAAGAATATAGAAAAGAAAGAAGAAGGAGAAGAAAAGAAAAGGAAAGAAATAAAGAAAACGGCGACCAAACCCTCCTCCTTTTAGCCAAGCAAGATGGCGGACGAGGAAGAGAGAGAGAGAGGAGAGGATCTCGTATAATATTTACAACCCTGCCTCGAGGCCCGTGATGCTGGACGAGACAAGGGAAGAGGAAGAGGAAGAGGAAAGGGAAGAAGGATAATGAAAATGAGAGGAAGAAGGAGAAGAAGAGGCAGAGGAGGAGGAGGAGGAAGAGAAAAGGGCGAAGAAGAGGATGAGAATGAGGAGGATTAGGAGGAGGAGGAGAAGAAGGGAAAGGCTAAAAAGGAGGAAGTTAAGGAGAAGAAGGAATGGGGGAAAAAGGAAGAGAAGAAGAAATAGCAAATGAAGCAGAAGGAGGAACAGGAGACGAAGAAGGAGAAGGAGGAATAGGAAAAGAAGAAGAAATAGGAAAATAATAATAATAAGGAGGAGGAAGAATAGGGGAAGAAGAAGGAATAGAAGTAGGAGGAGGAGGACGGGGAAGAAGAAAGAGGAAGAGGAGGAGGAGGGGGAAGGAGGAGGTAAAGAAGGGAGAAGAGAAGCAGGAGCGACGCCTGTTGCTCAAAAACCTTTTCCTGCAAGACTTTTGTGGTTCTTGGACATGCTAAGACACAGCTTGAGTGAAGGAGGAGTTAGGATGTGACATGCAGGGTTAGAAGATGAAAGAGGAGGAAGAGAAAGAGAGAGAGGAAAGGAGAGAAGAGGAGGGAAGGAAGAAGAAGAAGAAGAAGAAGAAGAAGAAGAAGAAGAAGAAGAAGAAGAGAGAGAGAGAGAGAGAGAGAGAGAGAGAGAGAGAGAGGGAGGGACAGAGAGAGAGAGAGGAGAGAGAGAGAGAGAGAGAGAGAGAGAGAGAGAGAGAGAGAGAGAGAGAGAGAGAGAGAGAGAGAGAGGAGAGAAGAGAAAGGGAGGGAAGGAAGAAGAAGGGAGAGAGAGAGGAAAGGAGAGAAGGGGAGGGAAGGAAGAAGAAGGGAGAGAGAGAGAGGGGAGAGAAGAGAAGGGGAGGGAAGGATTAGAAATGAGAGAAAGACGATAGTAGAGACGTGGAGAGAAGGATAAGGGATGAGAGAAAGAATGAATGAAGAGAAAGAGAGGGAAGGAATATGGGGTAAGAGAGAGAAAGAGAGAGAGAGAGGAAAGGATAAGGAATGAAAGAGAGTGAGAGGAGAGAAAAGGGGAGGGAAGGATAAGGAATGAGAGCGAGAGAGAGAGAGAAGAGAATGACAATGCAGACATTCAGTCACACGTGCATAGAGAGAAAGTGAGAAGGGGGAGAGAGAGAGAGAGAGAGAGAGAGAGAGAGAGAGAGAGAGAGAGAGAGAGAGAGAGAGAGAGAGAGAGAGAGAGAGAGAAAGAAAGAAAGAGAGAAATGCAGTAAACCCTCTCCCTGCCGATTCTGTGACTGGGGCGAGGGAGCGGGAGTGACGGCTAGGCTGAAACGAACGAACTCTCGATCGGCTATCCAGCTTGCTCCTGAAGTGATATGGAATTTCGCAACTTGCAACGGAGACCATGTCCGAGGCCTGTAGCTTGTATCGGAAGCAACACAGAGCTTGGAAATCGCATCCTAAATAGTGCCACACATGAATTCCACAACTTGTATCAAAGATATGAAGCTTGCAACTTGCACTGGAAGCAGTGTGTAGCTTGAACCAGAAACCATATCGAAAACATGCAACATGCCCTGAAAGAAACATGGAGCTCACAACATTTATTGAAAGCAACATGGAGCTTGCGTCTTGCATCCGAAGCAACATCGGAAGCTTGCAACATGCAACTAGCGACGTGGGCCCGCCGTGATGACTCATATTGTGTGTGGAGAGACGAGGGCTGATTGGGTACTAAAGATTTTCTGTCAAGACGAAACGACCGAGATGCTGTAAACATCAATTGGGAAGGTCGGTTGGGAGAGGAAGATACTGGGAGAGAGAGAGAGAGAGAGAGAGAGAGAGAGAGAGAGAGAGAGAGAGAGAGAGAGAGAGAGAGAGAGAGAGAGAGAGAGAGAGAGAGACGCATAGAAAAAGAGAAAATAGAGAAAAAAAATGTAGCGAATGGCAAAGACAAAAAACAAAACAAAAAAAAAAAAAAAAAAACGCACAACGAAAGAGGGAAGAGAAGGGGAGGAGAGAACCGCGCCACCTTTAGCTCAATCGATAAACTATCTAATAATGAATGAACAGGTATAAATTTGCCAGGCACTACAAGTATATATTTTTCCTCATTTTTTTTTCACCAACACAATTAATACCAAAGCTGAATCTTTGACTTCAGTTTGAATATTTTAAGTTAGGTTTGCCTAAGTTTTGATTTGATTAGACTAGCTTTGGGTTAGCTCAAATTTAGTTAGGTTTATCTTAAGTAAGGTGAAGTAAGGTAAGGTAAGCTAAGATTAGGTTACATTAAGTTAAGTTAATACTAGAGCTGAATGTTTGACTTCAGTTTGAATATTTTAAGTTAGGTTTGCCTAAGTTTTGATTTGATTAGACTAGCTTTGGGTTAGCTCAAATTTAGTTAGGTTTATCTTAAGTAAGGTGAAGTAAGGTAAGGTAAGCTAAGATTAGATTACGTTAAGTTAGGTTTAACTATAATACGTTCAATAAATGAGAAGATAAACTAGACAAGCGTTATATATATATATATAGAGATAGATAGATAGATAGACAGATAGAGAGAGAGAGAGGATGTAGATAGATCATTAAGGCAGATTTTAGATAGATAGATAGATGGATAGTTAAATATATAGATACAGAAAGAAAGAAAGAAGGAAATAAGAGAAAGAAGGAGATAGACGGAAGGAGGGAGGGAAGGAGGGAGAGAGAAAGTAAGAGATAAAGAGACCAGAAAGAGACAGGGTATAGTAACAGAAATAACCAGAAACAAAAACAATCCCAAACAAAGAAAAATATTCAAGCGATCGAGTGACACACACACACAAAAAAAAAGAAAAAAAAAGAAAAAAAAAAAAGATCCGCTATCGGCATACCTGCACCTGGTATACCATCGCTCGTTCAATATCGAACGCAGCCCTTAAAGAGTTCTCAAAGGCCACTATCGATCGAGGGTCAGCGGCATCGTGCGTCCCATCCGCCGCGGCCGCCCGACATGGTGGCGTAGCGGGGTGGGCGGTGGGAGTCGGTAAGTGCGTCTTTCGTAAAGCTTTTTCATGGTTTGTCTGATTTGCTTTTTTTTTTTTTTTTTTTTTTTCCTTTTGTGTTTCCGTCTAGTTATTTTGTTATCATTTTTTTCGTATTTCGTTCCTTTTTTTCTTGTAATATTTTTTCTCTTTTACTCTATTTTCATCTACTTAAAAAAAAAAAATTCTACGAATCGTTTTTTTGGCATCTTTATGGCGAGGTTAGGTTTTTGAGCATTATCATTTTTTTTTCCCGACGAAGAAAAAAATATACATGACATATATCTATTCATCGATCTATTTACCTATCGTTCGCTATATCTTAAAAAAAACGAAAGAAAATGAAATCTCTAATTTTTTCATAACTATTATTACGCAATTATTTAATATCAGGCAACGAACGACATTTAACTATTGTAGGTTTGCAGCTGTTCAGTTAGCTGAAAATTTTGCAGCTGGAAAGAAAAGCAAAATAGCGAAAGATAGATAGATAGATAGATAGATAGAGAGAGAAGGGAATAAAGAGAGAGAGAAGGGAATAAAGAGAGAGAGAAGGGAATAAAGAGAGCGAGATGGTAATAAAGAGAGAGAGAAGGGAATAAAGAGAGAGAGAGAGAAAGAGAGAGAGAGAGAGAGAGAGAGAGAGAGAGAGAGAGAGAGAGAGAGAGAGAGAGAGAGAGAGAGAGAGAGAGAGAGAGAGAGAGAGGCTATGATATATAAAAAGGCAGCTGGACAAGTGGATCGATAGATAGATTGATAGCCAAATAAAAAAAGATAAATAGAGGGATAAACATATTCTATACGAACTAACAGACAAACAGACAGATATTAAGATAGATGAATAGACTGGCAGTGACAGATAGGTAAACAAATAAACAAATATAGCGAAATAAAAGGGTAAGCTATTTTCACCTGCCCTTTTACCTGGACATTATGCGATGGTTAACCTGACAGAAACCTTATAAATTGGGTTATTCTAAGTCTGACAACCTCACTTTGAAAGATGGTGTCTATACCTTCCCTCTCCCTTCCTCACTCACTCACTGATGTTTGAGCAAATACGTATATACTTATATATGATACAGATTAATATAAAGATTTCAAAAGGTATTGCTGATAACTTCTATACTTATATATGATACAGTTTAATATAAAGATTTCAAAAAGTATTGCTGATAACCTCTGTACTTATATATGATACAGTTTAAT